AAGTTTAGCTGTTTTTGAAAAATCAACTGGAATAAGATGATCAGAAAAAGCAACTACCTAAAAAATAAAATATTTTATATAAAATATTTAATTTTATTTATATAAATTAACTTACTTTGGCATATGGTTCTATACGATGTGTAACCATACACATGGCACATGAACCAACAGCAGGTGTAATAGATGGTGAACCATTAATTGTACCACATGACATACTACCACTAACATCAAGTCCAAGTAAATAACGTTGATTAGTTGATTTAACAAATTTAAATGAAAGATAGAAAGCTTCTTCCAAAGCATTTTTTATTTGTTCACTAACTTGCCATTGTAATTTTCCTTTAAAACCTTTGCCTTGTTTATATGTTTCTAATGCTACAAGAACATTAAATGGATGAATACGTGCACGTTGTAATTGTTCACGATTTTTTAATCGTTCAACAACACGTTTTTCTGCTTCACTATTTTCAGTTAATAGATTAATTTCAGACATTTTACCTAAAATAATAATAATAATAATAATAATAACGATTAATAAGAAAAATCTTAAATAAATATTACTAACCTAAATTTCGAATCATAGCTGTTAATGGCATTTTTTCTAATAATACAGACCAAATAGATTTTGAATTAAGCATATTTGTTGGCATATGTTCTCGAACAAGATGATGTTGTCTAATAGCTGTAATAAGTTCATCTTCATTAGTTGATATTTTAACTTTTTCAACAGTTTCCAAAAAATCTTTTAATTGTTCTATAGTTACAAGTTTTTTATTATTTGTTTCATCATCTTCATCATTTAAATTTTCTTTTTGTTGTTTTTGTTCTTGTTGTTGTTGATCTTTCTCGGTTATATCTTCAGTATTATTATTATTATTACCATTTGTTGATTCTTTTGGTTTATTTAAATTTTCATTAGCTTGTTTAAATCCATGAGTTATATAATCAAATAAAAAACAAAGTAATGGATCTTTTGTACCTGGATGTGCCAAACGAAGTATATCACGATGAGAATAACCTTCACGATTTTGATATTTTGTTATAGCCATAGCTAATTTACTTGGATTTTGTTCTATATACCAATTTGATACAGCTCGACGTTGTGCACGACCCCAATTTTGACCAAGTGCATGAGCATATTTAATAAACCTAAATAAGAAATAAGAAAAACAAAAAAAATAGAAATTATTAATAAAAATAATAATTATATATTACATGAATAAATGTGTTGGAATACGACATATTTCAGATAATGAACTATAAGCAGCACGTTTTGTTAGTAAATCAGTAGATTTTGCACAAAGTGCTAATGCAAACATAATAGGATTTTGTTTTGATGTGCGTCCTTCAATGGAATATGTTTTAATTGTTTCAACAACATCTAAACCACGACCATCTGCTATTAATTTTAATATTGCTTGGGCATTTTCAACACCAAGTTCTTTTTCACCTTGATAATATGTGCCACCTTCACTACCCAAACAAAGAAAACGTCGAAGACGTTGCATATCATCTACAGCCCAACTAAAACCTCCTGAAAAAAATAAAAGCTTTAGAAATTAAGACAACAACCAAAAACAAAGACAAATACTTTCATACCTGCATTATTTTGTACTTGATCATTAGTTAATGGTTGAGATTGTGGTATATTTTCCGTACTCATGATAAGAATTAATTAATAAAGAGAAATAAAATTAATCTGAAAAACATAAAAAGATATGAAAAGTCTGGTTTTTTTTCTCTTGAATAAGTATTAAAAATAGTTCTCAAAAAAAATTATTTCTCGTATCCACTTAAGTGTAAAATTAAATATTTCCTCTCTTTCAGGTTCATGATGTAATCCATGATAACAATTTCTCCAACTTTTAAAATCAATATTTTTTCCTCTTTCAGAAAATTTTAAACTCGCATTATGATTAGTTATCAAATCAGCTTGACCATGTTCAATTAAAACTGGTATATGAAATATACACTTTGTTCGATCAAGTTTCATTGCCATACCACCTACATTACGAACAATTGATAATGTTGCTGATCGACGTATATTACTATCGTTAATATACGAATCAATAATATCTTCATCACGTGTAGTTTTACGTGGATCAAATCGAAGTGGAACATTCAAAGAAGGACGAATTTGACAAGCTGTTCGAATTAATGAGAGAATTACACGTGGAGGTTGAAGTGGTCGTGCAAGACGAATCCAAGGACTTGTAGCCACTAATGCTTGATATGGACATTCATCATCTTTATTCGGATATCGATGAAGTGTATAAGATAATACTAAAGTTCCACCCATAGAATGCCCATAAAGCACAGCTGGACAGAATGGATATATTCGTTTTGCTTCTTCTATTAGTATATCTATATCCTGAAAGATTAGTTCAACACTTGGAATAAATGTATGTGGTCCACCACTTTGACCATGTCCACGAAGATCCATTGAGATAACTGCAAAATTATTTCTATTATAAAATTCAGCTACATTTTCATATCGACCACAATGTTCCGCAAGACCATGTATAATAATTAATAAAGCATAGGGTACTTTGGAATTTTTAACTGGCCAATGATAACCAGTAAGTGAAAGACCATCACGAGAAAATAGGGAAAAATTATTCATATTATCAATATTGACTGATTATTAAATAAATGTACATAATAAACACATTACCTGACATCTCCCTATTACTAGTCATATATATATATATATATATATCTATTTTTTCAATCTGTTTAATCAATAGACAGTATCAGTTAATATTTACGTGCCGTTTCGAAAAGTAAAGGATAGGGAAAAAAAACAATGACGCATGAATGCTATAATTAGGGAAAAAAGCGCATCTATTTTTTTTTTGTCTGTACTAATAAACCTCTTGCAATCTATTCAACCGTATCACCTACTTTAATCAAAACTATGTGCTAATATTTCTTCAACTAAAAAAAGTGGTTGTACTTCGAATGCATCCAATACATTGTACCTTTTATATACATTAAAAAAAATATTGCACAAGAATAACTCAACACTTTCTTTCATCTCTAAAGAAAAAGAAACAAAATAAATAGGTTGTAGAATTTTCATCATTTTCAACAGAAGAAATGACAAATTTCTATGCTTGTTAGTATCTAGACAGTAATAACACAATAAAAATAAACGATAATAATGATTACATGGTAAAAAAACCATATGGGTAAATAATCAACAATTGCTTGAAGAAAAAAAAACTAAAGAAAGAAAAACAAAGATAAGAAAAGAAAAATATTCATTGGATGAATATACGTTCTTGCTCCATCTCTCTTAATACTAATGAAAGATGGTGCAATTTTGTAGATAAATACGTATCATAAAATATTATTCTAATAACAATTATATGTATTTATTGTAAAAGTTTTCGTCGAAAGAATTTTTCTATTTTCATGAAATTGCAAAATAAATATTACAATTATTGTGTAATATTGTTTTTATAATTTAGCGTCATGTTCTTACAAAATTCTTATTTTAAACACGTCATTTTTCGTCCAGTGTAATTTTCAACTAAGAAACTATTTTTTGTCAATTACTTTAACAGTGGCATAGTCAAAAATTTTTAACTCATGAGCCGTTTTCTAGCTAAATTATTTTGAGGAGTGGGCAGCAATGAACGATTAAAAATCAATTGAGCTACATTTTTTTTTTCTAAAACTTACTGCCATCATAAAAACTGATGTTTATTGAAGAGAAGTTCGTTACTCTTAACTAAGAGGCGAGCTCGTTCATTATTTTCTGTACTGTTTTACAAATGTACTCTTCAACTTTCACATATATAAATATAACTATGTCAGAAAGCATAAATAGAACCATTAGCGAATTTAAGTGGAATAATGAGTATTTTGACAAAAACAAAATATCATTTAATTGTCATCATAATAATCATCAGTTTAATAGAAAACATAGTCAGTTGATCTTTCTGGATCACTTACTTAGATCATAACATGATATAATGTATTAAAATAATACCGATTCCATCTGTTTATATGCATGTGTATCAAGAGTTTTTGGCATTCGATACATCACTCATATCCTATGACAGAGGTTTTGAATCCTATGTTTTTTTTTGGAAATTTAATATATTTGTGTAGAATATTTTCTTTTACATTGAAACTTTTAGACAGACCTTGTTACAACTAGATCTTTTTTGTAAGAAAAATTTCAGTTCAAAATACCATCATTCAATTTGTTGGTACATACTATGTCATAAGCTAAAGTTTCAATGAAATGACTGTAATCTTCGAAGAAAGGACTACGAAAATGTATACTTTTAAGGTTGTTCATATTATGCCAGAGTCTACCTTGTGCAAAGATTCTGAGCTCAAAAACGATTAATCAGTCGAAATAGTAGCCTTGTGTAAGACAAAAAGTGGAAAATTTTAGATCTCTATTTTTAATAATTCTGAATTATGTAATTGTAGAGTATGTTAAAAATATGACGTATGAAAATTCTTAATGCTTGATTAATTTAAAACTCAAATAATATGAAAAATTATCTTAAAATGTAGGCTTTACAATCTCTAGGAAACAAATTTATTCAAGAATATTTTCAATCCAGACATACTATTCATTCCGATTTTATATGGATAATATCTGACTGAATTATTGAAACAAAAACGTTGACATTTTTTTATTCTAATCACTTCAAATATTTAAAATTGTTCAGAAAATTCTTGACATAAATTCAATTATCAAACAGTACTTTCCATGTGTGTAACAAAAAGATTTTTCATCATATTGCAGTTTCTCTCTTGATAAAGCAATCATTCTCTAATTCATATCAAAGCAAAAAAAAAACCAGTGTAATTCACATTCTATCATTCAGATAATACATTTGTACGTATGATACTATCTCACATACGAAACTAAAAAATCATCCAAAAAGAACGACATTCTAACAAAAAAAAGCAAGTTTAGTTTTTTATCAAAAACTTTCAACATACCTGGTAACTATCACTTTACCAAAAGATATCTAACTTGATAGATTGCAGGAGTTCATTATAAACTACATGTACAGAAAACTTGATTCGTACTACAATTAAAATCTTCATTCTATTTTTTTCATATAGTTTAAAATCAGGTGAAAAAATAAATTAATAGTAGAGGTACGAAAAAAATCTAATATTCACTCACAGGTTGGTATTTTTTTAATAGACCAACAACTGAATCAATACGTTATAGATTAATGATTTTTATATTCAATCTACAAATACAAAAATAAAAGATATATGAAAACGATTTTGAGTTATCTAACAATGGAAGACTCTCAAGTATGACTCACCAATCGAGCTGATATTTTGCTATAAATAGGCTCCGATGAGGTTAGTAGAAGTCTCCAGGCTCTATCTTTTCCAAGTTATTACAATTTCATTGAATTTTTTAATCGTCATCAAGGTATTGGTGAAAAAAATGGAAGCATGGAATTTCTGTTGAAAAAGGATATGTTCTTCTTAACATATTGAATATCCAAAAACATAATCATGTATCACAAGGAAAGAAAGGTCAATATTTTGAAGATCTGATATCTCGAGAACAACATATTCTTTTGAGCTGAAACTATTAGGACATGAAAATGTCCTAATATTTTCAGCTTGAAATTTCATAATTCAATTTCTTCACAGAAGTAAGAAAAATTCAGTAAAGCTGTCGTAACTTGAGAACGCCAGCAGATGGAGATGAATCCTTATAAGTGTCTAATAGTCTCATCAATGCCTACTTATGAGCACAATATAAGTTCAACTGACGAGTCACACTTGTAGGTATTCCATTGTAAGTGTCTTATGTAAATAGAGACATCATTCGACTCGACGTAGCTTATTCTTCTAGTGGTATGAAATTTTTTAAAATCATCTACGACTTATCTTTATCTTGTTCTAATCATGATGAAAATTGTATTCATTTCTTTTGAATTCTGATAATTTTTTGCAGAATTGTTGAATTCTCATCACCACAAGCTGCTTCTTGAGATTGGATGTTGCAGTAATTTTTTGCTAATAGAAAAAAAAAACTGACTGAGATTTTTAGTTTAGTTACCTTTCAAACGATTTCAATTATGTCTAATGAAATAAATCATTAGAAAAAATAACAAACAATTTTTATCTAAATATCTTAGCAAATGCTCTGTAATAATTATTTCTCCGAGCGTAAATCTCATCTTTTTCTGTTTACTGTTCGATGATAGAAGTTTCAATCTGATTGGTTTTTACACTCTAGTAAACAATCGTACCCGGTCATGTCTATTAACGAGATCATTAATCAAATCATACCAATTACTGGAATACCGACACTTTGTTTATAAAGAAAAAAAAAAACTTCATTGAATTGATGTGTTAGATAGGAAACCAAGTCATATATATAATTATATTCAATTCTATTCCAAATTATGGCAAACAAAAAAAGGTACATAAAACAAATAAGAGACAATTATACAAAAATTATATGAAAATAAAGAAAAGAAGCAACACATTTACTTTATTATTTGGAATCTGACGTTGAATTGCATTGAAAGTGAGCACCATTTCATTCATTCTTTTTTTTTTTCTTATTCATTTTTTTTCCATTTTTTAAAAATATTTTGAGATCTTTTTTTTTTTTAAATATTTTCATTCCTTCTTTTTTTTAATGTTTTCAAATATATTTTTTTCCTTCTTTTTTTTATATTTTCAAATTTTTTTTCTTTTCTTTTTTTTTTTTTTATGAAATGGTGAAAAGGCCGAATATTGACACGTAGCGAAGACATGTGTGTTCGTGCACCATGTCCTATAATTCTTTTTTTTTAAAAGAAAAACAAATCGATTAGTTTTCCATGAATAAACATATAATCAAAAAAAAAAACAAAAAGAAGTTGTTTTTTTTTTTCGTGACTTTGTTTTTCATCTGTTTCATTTTGTTTTCTTAATTTTTTACCACAACAATGATAAAGAAATAAAGTACAGAAAAAACAACTACAATTGACAGAGACAAAAAAAAGAACTGAAATAACATTAGATTTTCCTCACCGAACGAAATAGATTTATAAATTTATATATATGTATATTGTCGTCCAAATAGGTATTTCTTATCTATTTCGTATATTATTTATATTTTTAATAAGGTGAATAATAATAACTTGAACGACCACGAGCACTAATAAATAAGAAATAATAATGATATTTATTTATTTTAAAATAAATAAAATTTTATACCGAAACATAGGTCGAGCAAATCGACCTCGATAAGGTGCAGGTACATAAGGCATAAAAGCTGCTGCACCACGTGGAAATCGACCACGTCCAAAACCACGTAATGTACCACGAGGTGGCCGATCAGTTGTTGAAACACCCGGACGATTTGTTCGTTTTTCAATAACCTAGATTTGTACGTGTTTTTTTTCAAATGAATATCAATAATTTATTGAAAGTTACTTTGATTTGTCGTCCTTTGAATAATGAATCATCAAGTGCAAGAGCAGTTTGTACAGAATCTTTATCAGCAAATTCAACATAGGCAAAACTAAAATAAAGAATTAGTCATGATTTTATCACCATTAGAGATTAAATGTTGGCTTTAGTTATAAAAAAGAAAATCTTTTATGCTTTCTATAAAAACTTTTCTTATTCGAATTACTTCAACTATTAGCATATATCCTGTTTAGAAATATGCGGAAATAAGTATTTTTGATCCCCGTAGTTTTCTCTCTAATGGATTACTACAGTTCAGTGGCTACATTATTTGACACATATACAAACTCTGTATTAGGCTGATCTTCTGTTCAGAGCTACAGCTAGTATAAATTGTAAGAAAGATATGGAGCTATTCTTCCTTCTGTTCTGTTCTAATGATTCCGATTTCGGTTTAGAAAAAACTATTTAAGAATCTATTTGTATCACATCTAAAAAAATTATTCAATACTCGTTTTTTTTATTGATTTAGGTGACAACTAGCACTTTTTTGGGTTATCTCTCTTCAATTATGATCTAGTTGATATGATTTATAAGATAATTTGCTTAAAATCATAGAATATTTGACTATAATCTTTACTTCCGGTTAGGACAACATATTTCTCTTAGTACTGGCCTATATCTCAGCAACTTCTCTTTCATGTAGTCTCGGTCCTAAACATCTCTAGTCCTGTTAAATATTGGTTCACATATATATTCATCTATCCAGATGCAAACATGCCCTGTCGAATTGTATTGGACACAAAATAATTTCGATTGGAACGTGTCGAAATTCAACTAGAGAATCGTTCGTCTTGGATAGTAAATATATAAGTGCTAATTTTCAATTCTACATATC